TCTGCTACTTTTTTCTCACCAGGAACGTCTTTTGCTAGAATAATCTCGCCCGCGCCATCGCCAATTTACGGGTCTCTCCCCCCCTCTCTCTCTTTCTTTCTCTCTCTCTCTCTCTCTCTCTCTCTCTCTTTCTCTCTCTCTTTCGAGCTCTCCGCGCGAACGCGGTGAACGCTTTGATCTGTAAATTGTAGCCGCTGAAATCTCGGCTTGCTATCTGCCAACTTCTTTTCGAGGGAAGTTCCCGGTCTTCCGTCACGCCCGAGAAAATTTTCCTACTTGACATTTCACTGTCCGAGCAAGCTCTCTCCGTCGGTGGCTTTTGAACCCGGGGCGTGATTGAACGACATAATTGCGTCGCGACTGTCGACGGTACGTCCTCCTGTCTTTGCGAGATTCGCGCGTGCACGAGCGAGCGGGCGAGCGAACGCGAGCGCGACGAGCCGGTGTAATGCTTGACAAAAATCACTTGACGAGGGAGATTACGCTGTTAATGCGGAATTGGGTCGGCCGGATACCGGACATGCAGTGGGGAACGTCCTTTCGCTAAATCCTAATTTCATCGCTATAATCCGCAGCGCAAAACGCCCGATATATCGATATGCACGTTACCGTGCGCGTATAATCGCCCGGCACGAGACAAATCGACCGGCAGGCTATACGAGGCTACATGCGCGTTCATCTAAAAATTGAGTTCATTTCGAAACAGTTCCGATATCATCGCGGAATTTCTCTCCCTTTGCATTCGCGCACAAAAGCACCCGAGCGGGAGAAAGAGAGAAAAAGAGACGGACACCAGACTCGAATTTTTATTAAAAGCGGAAAAGGGATAAATGGCCGATAAGAGCCACGCAGGTTGACGGTTAATTAAATATCGCGGGAGGGATAATAATATCGACGAAATATCGTATATACGCCGAGACATTTTCTCAGTCTTAGCGTACGTGAAACGATACTTTCGCCTCCTGCGAGCATCGAACCGAGGGAATGTCCTCCCAATTAGTAATCGAGTATCTTCATCGTGAGAATAAATTGATAAATTTAAAAATACGTGTTAAACTAAGTATACAAGATTGATTTTGTCGGAAAGCCGAAGTACTCGGAGCTTCAAGTGTGTTGTATATTTTGTAATCTGGGAAGATTTTTATTTACAATATTTTTTGTCACGAATGGCCGTAGCTCTGTTTGATGACACGACAGGCTTCAAAAAATAAATTTCTGAGATGTTGACAATTAATTCTGTTCGAACTGTTACCTGCAGCAATGCGCTTGTATTACAGGTGTATGCAAAAGTTTTAGTCTGTTTTCCAGCTCTCCAATGTAATTATTTTAAATTGAGATATTCTCCCGCCGTTTTGTGTTTTTGTAAGGTTGGTATTGAACTTTCTAAGAGGCTATTTATTATAATTCATCGATGCACTCAACCTTAAAAATAACAATTAATTAAAAATACAATGAGCGACGAAAATATTATATTCGACTCTGCATCCGGTATAAATTCCAGCAAAGAAAAATATTGCTAAAGCATGCGAATCCATTTGCTCTGTTCTTGAGGAAAATATTGTGTCCTTCAATACGTGCAAATATTGATTTCGTCGGTTTAAAAACGGTGATTTTAACGTGAGTGATCGTCCACGCTTTGAAACGCCGTGAAAGCTCGACAATTTGGGCCGACAATTTGAAAGCGTGTTGAATGAAAACTCGTCCCAAACAAGTAAAACTTGCAGAACAGAACTCGATAGAATGGTAAATTAACGTTTAAGGATAGATATGAAACAGCGTATGAATGCTAAAGAACGTAAAATCTTTTTTAATTGTGAGGAGACTCGGATGCAGAAATAAAGCAAAAGAAATCGCCGTCTTCGAAATCGGAAAGATAGCGCAAACCGTTAGTAGGCCTGCCATCATCCAAGTTACAAAGGTTAATCAATATTAAATGTTGCGCGTCAACAACTAAAGGTTACGCTGATTAGATTTTCATATGGCCTTGGAAGAGAGATAGATAGAATCACTGGATGTATATAGCTTCAGATTACATACAAATTTTGTTAAACATATAAATTTTGTTAAACATACAAATTTTGTTAAATATATTTTTGACACTGTCGTGGTGTTAGATCTTGCAATTGATCTCCAAACTAAAAATAATATGTTGAAGTTGCAATTATTGTCGCCTAATTATTTCCCGTCGCAGCTTTCAAAATTTATATAAATATATGTGGTTTAAAAATAGATAAATATACCGAGAAAATCGACAGAATTTCGCGCACCACTTAAATTTCGTTTCGAAAGCTACTCGAACGTAACGTAAAGAAGTGAAGAACTTTAAGCACACACATGTTACTACTTTTACACAAATAAATTAATCTCTAGTCTCGTTCATACCTTATGTAATACACTGCAATGTCATTAGTTCTTATCATCTTGCAGTATCGGAAAATATCAACTCGATAACAAGACGTAGTTATCGAATACAGCGCAATTCAAAAGTGCTTACCTACAGCGCAGTGACTATAGCTCTATGTAATTATCTCTATCTTTAAAAAATTGAATCTCTTCCAAGTTTCTATTGTTACATATGAATGAATTTGATATACGATGTTCTTTATTTTTGCTCTAAGAACAATTTAAACATTTTCGAAAGTAATAGAGTAACAGAGAAATAGAGAGTAATAGAGAAGAGGTGGGAGTTTCAAACATTTTTCAATTTTGTAAAATCTGAATATACAGTTGCAAAGAGTATGAAATACACTACAACTTTCATACAAGTCATTTTTGCATATGGCTCATACTTAAAAAAATATGTGATAAAAGTGAAAATATTTCTTTCTTCGAAAGATGATTTCACCCCCTCAGACTGGAATTCTGCATGAACAAAAAATAGTTTTGCATTACGGATGAAATACTTTACTTCTATACAAAGTTCCAGAATTTTTTGAATTTCCGAATTTTCCATGTTCCCTTGTAAAACATTTGCATACATCTAATAAGTACGATGTTCCAGTGATTGCAAGTACTTTTAATCCCCCCTCCCGAAAAATTTGATATAAACGACAATACATAGAATTTAGAACAAAAATATATGTATATTTAGGATAAATATGAATCGGTATAGCTGACTGAACAAAAGACAGGAGTGCAATTGTCACAAATCGGGCCGCTCACCTTGCCGAACAGTGAGGGAAACGGCTAATAGTAGCGGAGATGAACAGTTGCAATTAATTAATTCTCACGAGAGAATAATAATGTCGACACGTTTCCAGTCTCCACGTGGAGTAATAACTTCGTCTCCTGCCGACGTTAAACCAACCCTACATCCCGATTATATCAATTCTAAAACCCCCACCCCGCCTGGACCAAGAGAAAATCGATCATGATGCTTCCGTCTGCCGTGTTGCGAGAAGATGTCCTTACCGATTGAACATCTGGAGAATTTTCACGCGAGTCCTTCAGTCTTTATTACGAGCATGGGTCGCAATTTTACATCTCTCGCGAGTGTCCGCGAGTCGAAAAAGACGACTCTGGCGTAAGAAGCTTTCGTCGGTTCTCAGAATTTCCCGCCCAACCAACACATTTACAACGACGACACACGTGTCGTCCTTGATAAGCCCGTTATTTAACCCGCGATAACCCGAGTATTCAGCGATCGCCTGTCAACCGCTTGCGAAATTCAACCTTCGTTCTCCGTCGTCTCGCTCAGCTTACGCGCGGGACGGCTGAAGATTTAATTAGCCGCGATCTAGCGTGTCCGGTCGCGCGCTAATTTCATTAGTGCATGGATATCCGGCGGAATAATGTCGCTCGTTAACGAGGAAACGGAGGCGCCGATAGGTGATGGCACGACGACGGCGTTCGCCGCCGGGAGAATCGCGGCGATTTCGCTCTTGAATGATCCTCCTTAACGAGCCGGCGTGTTCCTCGCGAAAATCTCGCGTAGCCGTTGGACCGTGTGACCGCGTCGAGAGTCCTCGCTCATTTTCCACTTCGAAACCTTCCGGCGGAATCGTGCGCTCGCGGGGAGGGGGGGCGAGGACACGCACGCGGCACCAGCGTGTCCGTCTATTCGGTCGCGTTAATTAATTAAACAAAACGCGTCGTTAATTAACGGAGGCTTCTCGGACAGGATCGGGGAGGAGAAAAGGGCGGGGCGGCTGCGGTTCTTGCGAGATATCCTTACGTTCGCGCGATAATTAACGATCCCCAGCGGATCCCGCTGCAATCGTGCGTGCAACGTGCTCGCGGCAGGAGAGAGGAAAAAGACAAGAGAAATAGAAGAAAACACCTTCGAACTCGGTCGTACGCTCGCGCTCGCGTCGGTCGGTGCGGTCAAGGTGCGGTGATTTCCGACGAGCGAAACGCGCGCGCGGCATGTATAATCGCGGCTAATTAGACACTCGTCGGCCGCTGATACTCGATTGAGCGAACTTGCGCGCTCGCGCGAGATGATACTTCTTTCCGCTGAATCTCTGTCACTGGTCGACTCGCGAGCACGACGGACAGCGCAAGCTCGCTGAGAAAGGCGATTTCCCCCACGAATTATGTCACACCTGTCCAGCCGGAAAGCTGTCCGACTGCGCGAGTTACCGCGAGAACTCCACGTTGGAACACGATCGGCCCGAAATCGACGCGGGCTTTTCCGCGGGCTGGCGGAAATGAAGATGCGTGCGGAATAACATCGCGCTGCTTCGGCAAGCGCAGCCAGCGCGCTGACGGACGTCACGCAGCTTCGGGGCTCAAGCTCGACTTACCCTGCCGAACTCCGCGAACGCGAGCATCACGCATGGATTCTACGCCAGCGCGCTTTTCTCTCGCGCGACGAATCAAACCGCTGTTACGGCGCGTCCTCGTCATACGTGTCGCCGGTATCGCTTGAAAATTCCTCGCGCGGGTATCTCCACCCACGATCTCGTCGCGTTTTCTCCTATAACTCGCGACTCCACCTCTCTTCCCTTGGAGCGGTCGAAAGGCAGGGGGTTGATTTAACTCTGACATAACACACTCACCGATGCAGACGACGAGCGCCACGGCGAGAATCGGCGGGAAAGCCCTCGACGACGAAAGCATGCTGCGGCCCGGGACGTCTGGTCGTGCGAAGAGACGCTCGAAACGCGACAGAATGCAGGTGTGTGCGTGTACCCACGACGGGGAAGAGTCACTCGGCCACTTTGCAGCGTCTTCTACGCGGGACCCAGACTGAGAGAGGTTGATGGAGCCACCCGGAAGGGGCGGGACTGAGGCGCGACGGCCCGCGGAAAAACGGGAAACGGAAGAAAAAGGCACTGCGTGCACCGCCGAGTGCCGCTTCCCTCCGGACGATTCGCTCGATCCTCTCTTGATCCCCTGTCAATCACTGGTAACCCCGGAGATACCTGGTCCACTCTTTCGATTAACACCGAGGACCGAGGATCAATCTCGATCTCTCACTGAAACGGATCTGGACCGCGCGCGGCGAGAGAGGGAGAGGAAACGAGAGAAATACAGGGAGAGAGGAAGAGAGGAAGAGAGAGAGAGAGAGAGAGAGAGAGAGAGAGAGAGAGAGAGAGAGAGAGAGAGAGAGAGAGAGAAAGAGAGAGAGCGCGAACGAAGACAGAGAACAGCCCCCTCCTCCTCGAAAATATTTCTCGTTCAAGTCCTCCTCTCGAAAACAATCGACGCGGCACCGGCACACGGTTGGTCTTTCTGTTTTTCTTTCCTCTCCGCTTTTCTTCGCGCTTTCTTCTCTTCCCGTACGGAGCCCTCTCTCGCGTGATTAATCGACGACGACGGGGGTGTCACGGGTGGTACCCGACTCTGTAGAAGAGCTGGGAGGGGGCAGCTTTTACAAGAAGGCGCGTCCTACTACGTACGTCTGTTGCGGCGCCGACGTCGGACTGACTTTCTCCACGTTACTCTACTACTCTGCAGCAGTGGCGACGCGCCGCGCCGCGCCGCGACGCGACGCGACGCGCCGTGCCGCGCCGCGCCGCGCCGCTCCGCGCCGAGCCGTGCCGTGCCGCGTCGTCGCGCGAGTACATCCCGTCACGTGTGCGCCTGTGGGCGTGCTCCGATGCAGGACACCGTCGCAGGGTCGCTGAGAGTGTGTGCGTGTGTGTGCGCGCGCGCGCGCGAGAGAGACGTCGCAGCCCTTCGAATTTCGACGTGCCCGCGCCCTCGCGCCTCGCGACGAGCAGCCACTCAACTCGGAGTCCGCCTGATGTCGGAAGGGCGCAGTCACGGTCGACCGGCTGAATCTGCAAAAATCGTCGTCGCTTTCGATACGAGCGAGGTCTAAAAACGATCGCGTATATTCGCGTGCCGGGGAGCGGGTGTCGAGATTGTGCCGTATTTTCTGCAGACCGTCCCCCTTGCCCCTACGCTCGTGAGTCGATTTTGGTCGAGTGTGTTAATTCGATCGAGTTTTGCGAAATTACCTTCCGCTGTATTCTGCGTATCTCTTCCCACCGAGTCGAGCCGGTCGATTGTTTTCGATAAAGTTTCGATGCTCCCTTCGACGTTCCGCCGAGTGTTAAAAAATGACATATTTCGCCCGCAAGTGTACGAATGACGCGACAGTAATGCAGTTTTTGGACGCGAATTTTCGAGGGAAGATCGGTTAGAGGAAGATGTTAATTTCCATGTAACACAGTACATGTTGGTTTGAGAGAGAAAGTACGCTCTTTGTATTACCGGTGACCTATATATTTGTGTTATTCTTAAAAATATTAACTGAACGAGAAAGTTCGCGCCAGTAATCCAGGTTTCTAGGTTTTGTCATTATTAAACTGCGCATGCGCACACTATTAACTCAATTAAAAGTGTGGTTATGTGTGCTCAGATAAAAGCTTATCTGACAGGGAATTTACCGGCGTACAACGCTTACGGAGATTATTAATTATTACGGAAATTTACTAGTTATCTCTGTCGATTAAAACAGCGCGAACTTTCTTGGTTACCTGATATCATGTTAAGTCAACAGAGAGCGGAATTTTGGCGGGTCGTCTGGGACAATGTGAAATGTGCCGTGAGTCTGACACAAAATTTTCAAGTTCAACGCAAACTTTCTTTTTACCGCGTACCGTGCGCGCAATTCGATTGATGTGTACGCAGTCTTCTTACTTAACCCGTCGTATACGCTCGGAGTTTGTCAAGAAATTCTTTTTCCCTCGAAAAGTGCCGTCCGTGTTGATTCTTCTCGGACTCGGTGTGTTTCGAGCGACTTGCGTCCCCGTTTCCGAGTTTCCCATGGCGACGCGGCCTCAGAATGGCCGCGGGAGATGAACCGCACGATGAATTAAGTCACTTAATTTTCGGCGTTTAGTAGGTGGCTACGAGAGACCTCGCTCTTGCTCAGGAGGAGACATGAGAGAGACGCGTTTCGCCGTTTTCACACAGAGAGAAAAAGATCGCTAATAAAGTCACTTTTGCGGCCACTTTTGCCGCATCTTCTTGTTGCCCCAACAAGCGAGTTCCAGTTGTAACACACGTAACATACTCGTTATCGCGAACAGTGCAGCAACGCTTGCTGGAAAAATGCCTCAGCTGACTGCAATTCCGCCGCTAGGCGATTACACTAGGCCGCTAGGCGATTACAATGTCACAAATGTCCTCAAACATTTTTTTCCCCTCTTGCTCGGACGAGACCACCGGACTAGCGGAGAATCGTGCGAGGGGAAACGCGGCGGACCACCACCGGCGCGGGGAAAGGGGCGCGATGGAAAAGCTTGCGCAGCGAGCTTCTTTAATAAATCATATCTCTGCCGGCGCGCTCGCGTATCCTTCCCGGTGACGCCGTGAAACGTGTTTAGCAGCCGCCACGCGAACGTCGGCTTACATATCGAGTTATTGCAGCATGCGTTCGCCCCATAGTTGCGTCGGGCAGTGCATACAATGTGTGCGCGTGCATATAATGCGACGGCGACATTGTACCATGCGGTATCAATCATAGGATTTCCTGCAGGTGAACGTGCAGTCGGTTCCCACCGCGAGAATTCCACCCGTCGGCAGCCGACTGCCCTTCTCCCCCTCCTCCCTCTTCCTCCTCCGCTGCCGCCGTTCACGTTGTTGCTCACCCTTTGTTTTTCCGAGGCTCTCGTCCGAATTTGGCAACCTCCGTCTCGCGGGAAGAATAGAAATGAAGAATGACGAGTGAGAGAGAGAGAGAGAGAGAGAGAGTGAGAGAGAGAGAGAGAGAGAGAGAGAGAGAGAGAGAGAGAGAGCGAAAGAGAGAGAGAGAGAGAGAGAGAGAGAGAGAGCGGCAACGGCGACACGACGGGAGACACGGCGAAAAATATAGATCGGGCTTTTATTCGTAATATATATTGTGTTTCGGGGGTTTTCCCGCCCGGCAAATGTCTCGGGACTTAATTGGGAAGCGGCTGGATCTCCCAGAGATCGGATTCGACTTGAAAGATTCTATGTGATATTTCAAATCCTCGAGTGGAACGGTCGACGTATCATCCCCGATATTTGTCCCGATCTCCGTTTTACGTTGGAATTTTATTCTTCTTTTTTTTTCATTATATTCGGTATTTTTGGTATCGAAATGAGAGTTTCCATCGATGGGAAACTGGAATTCTCTGTCGTCTGATTGACATCCAGCGCAATGTTCCGAAATCGGATATGTTCAGTTGTAAGGAATGACATGTCTCAAGTATTCGATTCTAATTGGGAGAAGGAAGGCTTTCCGGATATTTTACCTGGTTTTTCCATTTTACACGAAACTTTTTTCCTTTTCCTTTTATTCCATTGTACACGGTAGTTGTGATATAAAGATGGAACTGCTCGTTTGACATCGAAAAAGTATGCCCACGTTACCAGCCAGAAAAAGAAATGCGAGTTCCCACAATACTTCTGTCTTGATTTCAGACAAAGAACGCGCATGTTTGCAATAAGCATGCGATCGCTATCGCAGTCAGACGAGCAATTTTAGGATAAATTTCGGAATTCTGATCGGAATCTATGCTGTACCTGGGAAAATCCTGATAAATTTCTATGCGGTTCCGCATTGAGAATGCAAAATAGTCGAATGAGAAATTGCTCGCGCGCCTCGCACTCGATGCGTGCCGCTGAAATTTCGTTGATACGAGAAGCCGCGCGTGTGAGATCGATCGACGCTCACGTGAGATCCGTCTCCGTCTCTCTCTCTCTCTCTCTCTCTCTCTCTCTCTCTCTCCCTCTCCCTCTCCCTCTCCCTCTCCCTCTCTCTCTCTCTCTCTCTCTCTCTCTCTCTCTCTCTCTCTCTCTCTCTCTCCCTCTCTCTCTCTCTCTCTCTCTCTCTCTCTCTCTCTCTCTCTCTCTCCTCCGCGAGAGGAGAAACGCGGATCCCCGTCGCGATAATTCGCCAAATACGATAGGCACCGCGCGAAACACTTCGATCTTTCCCGCACCGTCGTGTCGTTTTTATGTGCATACAGGTGATAAAGTGTACTCGTAAACGCGGAGCGAGATACGAACGTTCGTACTACCCTCGCATGCGACACAACGCCACTTCCGCAGAACACGTACGCGGTCTCTCAGAGTATAACCTCCTCGTAAAAAATATAATATCGCGGCGTCGTTAACGTCGCTTGCCGGCCGAAATGTTCGGCTCGCAATCTCTATCAGCGGGATAAGTTATCACCGGTTCGCTTCCCTCATATCGAGACGCTTCGGAACGGTAATAGAGGCGGGCTCCGCCTTAATTAGTAATTGATATTAATCATCGGCAACACGTGCGCCGTGTTAACGATGCCACGTGCGTCCGCGAATAATAGGTGGAATGTAAAAAGGGCGGAAATACGCGCGATCATGTTGAACGAAAATATGACAGACGGATGATTCCTACGTCGCTGCTTAACATGAAAAGTTACACAACATGAAAAAAGGCTGATATACAATTTTACACGCGCTGTTTGTACAATTTTACATTCGCAAGGAACATCTGCGAAGTGCGTGTCTTCGATTTCGACGAAACTTAGCATATTTGTAGAACTAAAAATAAGAGACCCATATTGTTTTTATCGACAATGACTCAGGTTTAAGGGGTGAAACTGCCGCTCTAAGTTTCATCCCCTTTATGCTATATAATTATGCTCGATTATTATTGGTACGGCATAAAAAACTGTGTAATTTTTTTTTAAAAAGTTTTTTCTTATCTGCAATAATTATTAAGATAACATAAAGGGGATGAAACTTTGAAGGGCAGTTTCACCCCTTAAACCTGAGCCATTGCCGATACAGAAAATATGGGTCTCTTATTTTTAACAAATATGCCAAGTTTCGTCGAAATCGGAAACATATATTTCGCGGATGTTCCTTGTCAGTGTATTCTGAGAGAAAACATTCATTAAGAGTTCCCCCGAATCGCAAGAGACTTTGACAGTTCTGTGAGAGCCATCGCAACTCCATTGCTGCGAGTATAATTGTTTTTTATTGCCTCGTCAAGGATCAGTAGTAAAATAATTAATAAAATAAAAATAATAAGAAAATAAAAATAATTAAAGCCTCCTTGACACAGCGGTAAAAAATTGATAACTTGTAACGATGAATCTGCGATGGTCCTCTATTAACGTTCCTCGTGATTGTGAATCTAGGAACATTAGAATAGTCGTTAAATATTTTTGGAAGTATTTCAGAGGACAGAAAAGTTTTCTAGAGCGAGTATTCGTATCGGGAGATGCGCGTGCGCACGTTTTCAAAACGAAGAGCACGAGTGTAGTTCTGTAATTCCGTGATATGCCTTTGCGCGATTATAATCATATGAGAATGCGTAAAGCGGTATAATGCGAATCAAGTGGCGAATAAAGCGTTGTGTATACACGCGCAAATGCGAAAATTAAACCTTCCGCGTGTGCGTAAGACGAATGAAAGTGTACATGCGCGTGATGAGAATTAAATTTTGCCGATTTGCTCGTATATGGGCGCACATATGTGTGTGTGTGTGTGTGTGTGTGCGCGCGCTCGTGCATGCAATTGAATTTACATCGA